CTGCGCTCAGCCAGTAAGCGCACCCGCCACCCCTATATAAGATCCGAACCCGCGGTGGGAACGTCGCTGCGCTCCCAGCTCCGCACTCTCCTGAGTGTGCCACGGGGTCGGCCCACAAGGGAAATTTTTGAAAATGTTTCGAACTGAATAGTATGAAACTATGGCATGTCATTACTCAGAAACATATAAAGTAGTGCTTAGAGGGAAATTTAGGGCTTAAAATGCACATACTACAAGAAAGGGTAACCGAAACTAATTCTATAACTCTCTGTCAACGAATTAGGAAAAAATATGCAAATTAAGCCCCAAATGAGTAAAAGGAAAGAAATAATAAAGATGAGGGCAGAAATTAACAAAAATATAAAGCAGGAAATCCATGAGCACAAATAGCACAGAACCTGAGCTACACTGAGCGTATGTGGTCACGTAAATGACTGTGCCTCCAGCTGTGGCCACTAAGTGCGGACTTTGGAAGCAATCAACATGTTCAATGCCCAGCTCTGCTCCTTTCCAATGGTTTAACTTTAGACAAGTTACTTAGCCTTTCTGCACTTCAGTTATTTAATCCATCAGAGTTGCAAGGAGGATTTAACTCAATCACATATTTCAATTACCTAGCATAATACCTGTTTAGCATTTTTAACATGTGTGAATTTCTTCCTTTCCTTCTTTTCTTTCCCTTTTGAAAGAAATTACCCAATTGAACAGGTTGATTAATAAGACCTGTCTAGACAAATCCTAAATGTACAGTCAATTCAGTCCACTGATTCAAAGTGAATCAATTAAATCAAATATTCAAACCACAAATAAGTTTGAATCATCTCTCCAGTGTTCTCATTGAATTTCCATGTTTAGAAATGACCATTGAGACAATTACAGAAAAGCCACACACACCGGGCTACACAAACCCTAATCTACAAACTACAGGCCATTGTACCATCTTTTGAATAGACCGTTCATTTTTTTTTTTTTCCTTTTTTTTTCTTTTCGTGACTGGTAACGGGATCGCAACCCTCGGTGTTGTGCCCGGCAACGGGATAGCAACCCTCGGTGTCGCGCCCACACCGCACTCAACCAGTGAGCGGACCGTAGACCGTTCATTTTAATCAGTCTAAAGGCAGCAACATTCAAACAATGACATGCTTTTCTGTTTTTGTAATATTCTCCATGAAATATGAATGTGTTGTACACAAGATTTCAATCAATCAACAGTGAATCAGATTAACTCTTGGAAAACTCATTTATGCCCCTTATTCATAAATGCAGAATATATGTATGTCAAAATGTACCTAATTCCACTTCGACATGGTTAAGCTTTGGTCCAAGAAGAACTGGATTTACAGTACTGTGAACTAAAAGTGAAAAAAGAAAAGAATATGCGTTAGTCTTGCCGCGAGCTTCTCTGAGATGAACATCTGTTATAACATGCTCATGCCACGTAACAAAGACTCTAACAGTCACAGCACCACATTTACTTGAGTCCCATTTTCATTAACGAGGGGTGACAGCTCATATTGCTTGTCGCTTCACTTTCCATCAACTCCGCACTCACAGAGCTGTTGAAAGCACCTTGAATCTGTTTTTTTCTCAAATCCGTGGCCTCTGCCCACTGCGGCTAAAAGTCAGAGGAAGATGTCCATCCAGGGAGACTGCTGTGTACCCCGAGATGACCAAACTCACGGGACTTAGGAGATGCACAGTGAGTGGAAGGTGACTTTGTGCTCTGCCCGATTCCCTCCATCTGTCCTCCTCAACTCACTGAGAGGTTATGGGGTGCGGGGCTGAGGCTAGGGTGGGACACACAAGACAATCACTCTCAGGCACCGACCAGACCCTTGCAGGACACTGAGAGCAGTGTCGCTACAATACTGTGCCCTGGGCACCTCCCTTGGCTCGCCCCAGACCCAGCTCTGCTGGGGTGTCCACACCTATAGGCCCAGTTCCACTTCTGTTCCTGAGTGACTTCTGACCCTTGCTGGGAGTACATAAATATTCTCTCCCTTAGCCCCCATCTAGAAATGCTTAGGAAGTACAGTGATCCCCCCTTATTTGTGGGGGATAGGTTCCAAGACCCCCAAGTCCTGGAACAAGTCTTGGGTGCCTGAAACTTCAGATCATGCCGAACCCTATGCATATTACGTTTCTTCCTATACAAACTTGTCTGTGATAAAATTTGAGGTGCGACAGCAAAACTAGCACAAATTTCTTTTTTCCTTCATCGCAATTGCACAGATGGAAGATTC